TGCGACCTTCCGTATCGTACATTTGCGAGGTTTATTCTCTTTTCCAAGTGATTCGCTGCGGAGCCTCTTCAATAACAGAAGATCGTCTTGAATAACGAGGAAAATGATCCTTGGATGAAGACGAAGAGTCTCAATGACGGAAGATTACGTTGCAATGGCCAGCCGGATACCGGACTGGTCGGATAAGAGCTACTTCGTCCTGTCGAATCATTCAAGGAGATTAAGTCGAGATTACATTCTAGCGAAGGTACTGCTGAGATGAGATGAGATTATGGCACACTCGCGTCACTCGGCAGCATTCAATAATTCCCGATATAAAGCGTGCGTCTACGTGAAGAAGAATAAGTGCATGCGCGCCTTTCGCGATATATACGAGTATCTCGCTAATCTGCAACGGAATCGCGTGCAAGACATCAGCTGAACGCGTCCGTTTGTTAGCACTTGCGTGCCAATTTCGAATGACCAAACTGCGCAAAACTGAACGCGTCCAGGGTGGACATTTTCAATTGACAGTCAAACTTTGCGCAATTTTCTTTGGTACACTGCTATTTACGGTGCGTACACTCCATTCGGATTAGTGGCACATTCACACATTTTATCCCTGATAGAACTGAGATCGCGCTCGTAAACCACTCACGATAGCATCGATCGATCACCGATCTTTCGCGCGCAACGACCGACTGCGCGCATGCTGCGAAAATCGCGAAAACGAACGGAGCGACTTGGAGTTGCGACGGCAAGTGACGATCGAGCGGGCGCGCGGAATTGCGCGGAATTGCGCGGAATTGCGCGGAATTGCGCGGAATTGCGCGGAATACGATAAACCGAGCACTCGAGCGCACTGGAGCGCACACACGGCGCAGGTAAGAGCGGTTTTCGAACAACTGCGAGCCGGTCGGAAGGCGGCGTTTCTTTCTCCCCTGCATCGTGCATCGGCTCGCCGCAGAGAGAGGGAAATGGCGAAACTGTGCAAGTGGAGGTGGAGGTGCTGCTACGAAATACGCGGGGGAAGGGATAAGAGGATCTATGATATTGCCGATATCGCCGATCGAGATCGGTGCCTCGGTGCCTCGATGGCTATATTCGCGAGAAAGGCCTCGCTCGACGAGAGCACCCTCCCATGTTTTTATCGGTTTTCCATCAACGTTGCCATCAGCTTCTTACACGTGGAGCACGTGGAATTCTGCCATCTCACTTTTATGGAAATCTGTAAAACTCGGTCACCTCCCGTATATGGACCTCCAAGGGAGTAAGGGACGTCCTATGATAACACGTATAAGGACATTCCCGAACGTCCTTCGGATAAAGTGTGTACTTATTTTTATCTTTTCATATTTTCAATAATTAACTTTCTTCATCGAGCACAAAATATATAAGTTACGGATCGACAAAATCATGGGACATTTGTTTGCTAAAATGCAAGCATAGTTGAACAAAATATTTCCATTATATGATATATAAATGATATGTAATATAAATATATTTTTTAAACTTACATATATTTTACAAGACTTTTTTTTTATTTTTATAAATTATGCATCACATATAACGTGTGCGTTGAGTTCTTTTAATTAAATAAGCTGTCGTAAACTAAACGAAACGTTAAACTATCCGATCGAAAAATTTAATTTTAAATAAAAGATATCGGAGAGAGAAAGATATCTTTTATTAATTATGTAAAATACAAAATACATTTTGGAAAAAAGAAACGTTCCACAGGCAATGTCGCTGCTCACTCAAGTCGCAATTTTACGGGTAGTGAGTCAACTAACCCCCGACTGTCAGTTGGTTCCTGTCTAAAGCAACAGATGCTCGTCAACCGCTGCCATGTGGTAGCCGCACGAACGTAAGGCGGCATGCATCTCTTACATTTCAAGTCACGATATTTTCGGGATCGCAAAATACCATCATCATTTATATTTGAAATTTTTTTCCCCTAATGAAGAATATTCTCACATGCGTCTTAATGTAAAGAGATGGTAAATAAATTCCCCGCCGATTCCTTACCAATCCTTTAATTATCCATATATTGTTCTGCTGAAAGGGATTTACATTAATGGGATTATAACACCTATGCGCGTAAGTCTACAAATGGTAATCTTAAATATGCATTCGATATAATATTTTTTGCCACTTATATAGTGATCGGTAGACTTTTCTCTCCACCTTTCTACACGTACGGTAGTAGATTATATAAAACATCGTCGTACAAAATAGTAGTAGTATCACCTATCAATTTCGTTCCAACGGATGACCCGCTATACACGGATTGCAATCAATATGTTCGTCGCGAAATACTTGCACTCTATTCTTCGAACGCGCGAGAATTCTAATTGTAAGAAACATATTCCCACGACTAGAGAAATTAACGATTTGTGGTCCTTTGTATTTCGAAAAGCGCTGCGGCCCTTCGCTATCTACCAAATATTCCAGTAAAACATAAGATATTCAAAGAATGCTTGAAAGAATGACTTTAAGAAGGTAGATTACTGCGCTTGTTAGAGACACAATAATCTTCTTTATATAGCACCTTTTAGACGTATTATTTTATCACTCTACATATATATATATGTATACATCGACATGAAATAACTTATATTTAAAATATAAATTCTCTCTTCTCTGTACTTCTTCTTTTGTTATATTTCACGAAATAGAAATGTGTATACGTGTATACCTTGAAGAATTTTGCCAGTGTTAATCTTTGTACTATTGTAAATTGTTATAATAAATAAGCGTGAGAAATGGATCTTGTGCAGGATAGGATCACACAATGAACGAACGAAACTGAAAAGACGGGAAACATTGTACTATGATTCAAGTTTTATTAAACAAATTAAATACAAAAGATTTTCTGTTGCTTGCTGTCCGCGTTATACAGACGAATATATCTCGGGGTTATAAATAATTAAAACAACAGAACGAGAGGCATGGTATATAAATAAAATAAAGAAAGAAACAGTGTGAGCGGAAGAAAATGCGGCCCGTCTCTTAACTTCCATTTCCCGAACAGTAAACATTCTCGCGTGTTCGCATTATATTGTTTCTTATCAAAAATCACTAAAAGAAAAAGAGCAAGAATTAACTATAAAGCGTCCAGGCTTTTTTAATCCGAGACTAAATTTATAATGCTATCACAAGGTTTACATGATTTTACTGGAACATGAAAGTGAAATTTCCACTGAGAATTCTGCGTTCCAACTGATATCGTAAATAGCATATTTACATTTTATGTGCTCTTATATAAAAATTCCTGTTCTTTACAAACATTTCTTATATTAAAAACAAAATTGTTAGAAACATGCATCTCATTTATAATAAGCAAAATAGTATTTTCGATATCCAGAATTCCCAAATAAAAATTCATTAATTTTTCTCGAAAGTTATAAATGCACGTGGAATGACACAGAACCTGGTACGCCCAAAATGCAAAAGATAACGAAAGAAAGAACAAAGATAAAAATAGATTTGTCGCATCAGACTTGAAGAAAATGATTTAGTTTTTAACGCTGCATGACGAAGAACCTTAATTATCAGTAAATACGCTTAAAATTTTTTTTCGAGAACGTTGGATATTAATATTTAAAAGTCGTTAGGATATGTACAAAGAGATATAATATATGAATATGAAGTGTGTGTGCGTGCGCGTGTGCGTGTGTGTATGCGTGTGTGAGCGCGTGTATGTATGTATATTTGTAATTATATTGAATTCCTGTCCCAAAAGCCGAGGTGAATCATATATTTCCTCTCGATCCTTCGGGATCACTGGACAACTACATCGAAGAGTAACACAGTCTTTGTAGTTTTCGAAATTGGTCGTTTAATAAAAGAAAGAAAACAAAATTAAAAGATAAATAAATAAACTTATATTAATAAGTAATGATAAAATTTAATAACGATTCATTAAACGAGGACTTTGTGTTTTTTTCTTTATTTTTTTTTGTGAGATGATTAAGAGGAAGGCAAAACGAAGTTTGGAATGTAATCAATGGTAGAGATAAAAAAAGCACTGTGTTGACTCTCGATACTCTTTCTTTTTGTCTTTCTTTCTCACATGCACATTCACTCTTTCGCATTCTCCCTTATTCTTTCGCGCGTTTTTTCGATTTCCATATATTTGGCAATCGCAAAAACGGTGCCTGGGTAATTAGGCCCTCTTTGCTAACGCGTCGATACATATCGTGCACGCATTACAGTTTCTTTATAATACTTAAAAAGACTCAAGTCTCATGTAAGCAGACAAGAGCGTGCGCGCGCGCGCGTGTTGTGTGTGTGTGTTGTGTGTGCGTGCGCGTGCATGTGTACGTACACACATTTGTATTTGTGTATATATAATATACATGGCTAAATCTACTGTAATAAAGCCAACCGCTTCTCTCGTACCGACATGTAAAGTAGCGAAAAAATGTTATTTCTTCTTTTTGTCTTTGTCCTCGAATTCTACGAGTATGATTTGAACAAGTTTCTTTCGTATGTTTACAGATTACACTTGGAACAAATAATCCCAATTATATTTATAAAATAACCCAAGAGAATATAAACCTGATAATATCGATGTAAATTAGTATCGAATTAAAGGTTGAAATTAGAAAAATAATAATTTATTTGCAAGTTAAAATTAGTTATGCATTCTATAAAAATAAATGGAGCAAAGTATATAATTTCGTGACGTGTAAACGAATACGCTTAAAAAGATTATGTGGTTGTGAAAAATAATTACCTCGATCGTAGACTTCGAGAAACTCTTTTTCTTTTGTACTTGATTACGTCGTTATTAAAATTCGCGAAAGCGTAAAAGTACATCAACTTTCCTTATAAAATTTGAATTGTCTGTACCAGAGTCAGATTGGCAATAGAAATTTTTTAAAAGGAAGGCGCTTAAAATGGAATAAACCGTTTCGACTAACGTAAACGAAATCTAAAACGATTATGAGACATTTCCATTTTTTTACTGATAAAAAGACGAATCTTTTTAATTATTAAATATATAAAGTGTGTTGATGAAACTATTGTTTTTTTTTTGTGTTTAACACAAAAGCTAATCGCACTACTCTAAATAATGAATCTTTGTCTCATTTCTCATAATTTCTCTGCTCTCCTCTCCCCTAATTACTATAACACTACGCTATTTACACCAACTTATGCTATTATGGGACACTAAAGATTAGCCTACTAAGTATATATTACAGGACACGCCGTCATACTTTCTCTGGCGACACGCAATATATATATATATATAACATCTTTGGACTTGGTTTTATTACACATTTATATAGAATATTACGATAATTTTCTCTCCTCTCATCTAATTCGCTTCTCGCTATCTCGTGAAAGCCCACGAGCGCTTACTTGAGAAACGTTTCTTCAGTCTAATAAAAGAAAAGTATTCTCCTACCGTCTTTTCTCTCTTGCTTACATTTGCCAGTTATTTGTTGCTTTCCACAATACGTTGTACAAATATTTTAACGCTTGAGATTCTCGGTGATTCCTTCAGGTTCGTCGCGGTGACCCTTGGAAGATAAGCGTTCTGTTTAAATAAGAATAAACGCCTTTTTTCGTAGTAAAGTCTAAGTAGGTTCCATCAATATGAAAAATTGGCCCACGCCTCAAGAGAATGTCATGACATGTTAAGGATCAAAAGCCATCGAATTAGGATGTTACAAATGCAAAACGACATTCGCCGTTATAGGAAGAAAATTCGTGAGCGTCATCGATCTTTCTTGCATTCTCTTTCCGCTTGACAGTTCGCGCATGGCATCATCCGGCAACGATTTCTCTTTTGACCATGCAAAAGAAACAGTATGACAAAATTAACTAAACGATAATTGAGACTCGGCGAAACTCGTGGATCATTTAAACCGCCGACACTTGAGCGTCCTCGTCATCTGCAACATTTCAAAATGTGTTTCAGTAAATGACATATTAAAATGCCAAATATGATCGAAGTACGAGAGAGATTCTAATTTGTATCAATAGAATTTAACGCGTGTAATGCTGCTTGATTTAATAATATCGGTTCAAATCGGAACAAAATATATCATAAAAATATTTCAACGCATGTTACAATGATTCACAATGCCAAGATTTCTGGTAAAAAAATAAAAGCTGTTGCTAGAAATTCCATGCTGCACATTATATTTTATATGCAATATTATATTTTGCGCGCGCGCGTGGTGTGTGTGTGTGTGTGTGTGTGTAACACACAAAGCAATTTACAAGATGTAACAATAAATTTTTAGAATAATTTTGTTTCCATCAAAGTGACAAGACTGTAACCTGATACTTCCCGCAATCTGAACCTTCTCGATCTGCATGCAAAAGGTAACATTATCAATTGTTTTAGTTATTGTACAAGTTAATTTTTGTAAAGTTATATTTGTATTCAGTGTTGATAAAAAGTAGAATAAACTTTAGGGCCAAAAAATCAAATTTTAAATTGATCATATTTTTGGTAAAAAGTAGCAAACCGTAAACGAATATTTATGAAAAGTTGATCAAAGTTTACTTTTTTCCCTAAAAATTTTATCACAGATCTTTCCAGATAATACCATGTTCAAAATCGGGACATAAGATGTCTTAAGGAGATATCTTTAAAATATTATATATTCTCTCATTTTGGACATGTGTGATGCTCTAGATTTGTTTTAAATTGCATTCCAATTTTCTCATAACACGGGATATAAATACGTCTTTACACGAATCAATTTGTACAATGACTGAAATGATTGATGATGTTTAATTTTCGTATGCAGATAGGGGGAGATTCAAGTTCACGCAACGGTGGAAAATAACGATTTAAAGTATTGTAAATCGAACTTTGGCGAAAACAAAATTATTCCCAATTATTATCACATCTCATATATGAACAATTTTTTTTTTTTTCCATATCTTTATGTGTTAGAGTCTCTCACCTAAGGTGATGCCTATAAATATAAGATATTGCATTTCTTTCTCAAATTCTAAATCTCGTTACTTTAAAAAAAAATAGATCAATTCGAAAAAAATAAATAGTTGATGCAAACGAAAATGAAAAAAGGATAAAACGTGCGACAGGGACAAGCAGCAAATCATGCCTAGGCATCACGCAAAAGATAAACAAATCGCAAAATTTAATATATCGTAACGTTTCAACGCAAAATTCGATGATGATAGGCAAGCTTGTGTATTATGCAATGATCATTAACATAAATATTGACATAATGCAAACAAACATGATTATACATCACAAAATTATGTGACTATGCTTAATGAGTGCTACATGACGATCACATTGATTAAATACAAATTTTACAAACATATTATATAGATATTTCGCTAATTTTACAAATATTAAATATAGTATTTATTTACATTGTGTACTAATAACCACATAATATCCGTTAATTAATGCTAACTGTCATTGTATTTATAATTACGTTCAATATTGTGTTCAAAAATGTATTTGTTGTTATGCTCAAGATTTTGTTTCAATATAAATACGTCATATATTACGTTTTTTTAAAAATAGAAAAGATGATTTCAGAAGAAGTGGCTTGCAAATATTTCTAAATTAGCATTACATATCAGAATAAAAGATCATAGTCCTAAAAATATAGTTATACATACATATCTGTTTAAATATGTATAGAAAAATTGGAAATATGTAATATCAAAATAATAATCATTTTCAATGCACGCACGATAAAATAAAAAATATCAAACAGGAAAAATTAATAAAAATGTTGCAAATTAATAATCGTGAGAGTACAGTTTTAACGAAAGCTATTCTGACAGTAGTGAACTGACAGAGTGCTTTCACCAACAAATCAGCACTCCTCGTGCGTGAACGTTGACAACGAGAACGTAAGAAGCCTCAACGAGCGTAAACCGAATATATGTGTGTATGAGGGTGAGTATGAACCGTGTGTAAACGGTACAACGATTTTGCTAGATGTAGTACCATCTTCGTGATCGGTGCCTCGATAGGTGACCCCCTCGTGGCTGTTAGCACGACCGAGTCTGTGCAATCTCGCCATCTGCTGCGCAACTTTGTACGCCGGTGGTTGACGACATTGCGGTGTGTTACCCATGCCGGATCGTATCGACGACGTCATGTTGCCCGCCATGGCACCCATCGTCGTCATTATGGTCGTGGTCCCCGCTCCGGGTGGTGGCAGCGGAGCTGGCATCCCTAGGCCCATGTTTACTCCTAATCCCGTAGTACCTGAAAACCCTCGACTCTCTCGATCTCTCTTTCTCTTCGTTCCGCGCCGCCTTTCCTCACCTTCTCAACATCCTCCATCTCGTTGATAAAGTAATTCACCTGCCATCGCGGACGTAGACGTTTGTAAACGAGCGAGAATGTTAAGAGAAATAAGTTAATTTATTCTCGTTTATACTCATTCTAATTAACAGAGTAGGTATCAAGAACCGAAATATCTTGTATACTATATAAAACTATAACATTAAATATTAAATGCATTATCTTGCAAAATAAATTATATTCAAAAAATAGAGCAAAATAAAAAAAATTCTCGTTTTTATAGCATTTTACAATTACTTCACTTTCTATCCATTTATTTACACTTTTGCAACGCAATATTCATTTGCGTTGTTACCATCTCTTCTGTTAATATTCAATACGGCCATATTGACTGAAATTTTTTTTTATCTTTTTCATCCTTTAGTTAGAAGTAACACAAAAAAGTTACATCACTCGAATAATCATTGATGCCCGTTTCTTACTAATGTAGATTAACTTTAATCTCGGTTCAACTTACTCTTCATCTTTTTCTGATTCCTGAAACTAGAAAAAGATGAAGAGTTGCTATATAGAAACGAGTTTGAAAAGGATAATAAATAATCGCGCTCGCTTACAGCCGAGATCCGCGAGAAATACGCGATACGCGAGTTTAATAGAAACCGCAAAAGACACTCATCGCTACCCGCCACACAATCTACCCAAGAGGAAAGAAAAAGCACAGATATACTATTTTATATTAGTGTATCCTGAAAAGAACACTCAATTATCTCCGCTAATACTACGGTATACGCAAATGAAACAAGTTTGATGCAACGCGTTGCATTTCTAGGCCATACTAGAAACGAACGTTAGTGCTACATTTATCGCTAACGTGCGTACCAACAGATTCGTTCGATAATTGATAGTTTTACACACGGCAACGTCACGCACCAGAGACTAAACACAGATTTTTCTTGAGAAAGGCAATCTCAAGTTGCTTACAAAGCTCAAGCTATATAAAGACGCTGAAGACCAAGATTACTTCTACCATTCGCAATACTTCAACATGTTTCACATGCATGAGCCATACTGTTTGCATCTTCAAAATAATGTATTCTGCTTTGAAGCAGCAAAAACAGCAAAATCAATGAATCAATGCAGGCCAGTCAGACGAAACAGGCAGACAGTCGCGAACTCACCTTGAGGAGTTGGGGGTTGGTGATGATGATGATGAAGAAGATGATCGTGATAATGTTGGTGATGGTGATGATGGTGATGATGATTGTGGTTGTGATTCTGATTGGCAGGAAGCGGAGGTAACACTGCTACCGCGTGAGGAAACGGAGGTGCTCCGCCTCTTATAACAGACCCTGCACCATACAGAGGCCACATACGACATATTTTTTTTTACAAAATTTACAAACTTGTGCCGCTACTGAAAACGCGAAAAATCCTCGAAACGAATCATCTTTATGCGATACAAATATTTTCAAAAGCGCATGATTATTATGACGAATAACGCATGAAATACCGCCTGCGTGATCAAGCAAGTAGTAATAAGCTGTAAAGCAAATTTTAGAAGCATCGGAACTTTAAAAAGCGATTAAAAGCACAGTTATTATGCCATATATGCAGCACTCGATGACGCGAATATCGATACAACATACGGCACGTAAGATTTAGTAATAATATTTCATTCTTTATGTGCTCGTATGATATTTACATTTTACAGTAATCCGTTTAACACTTGAAGGTACGTGGCCATGGGACATACGTTTTTCAGCGATAAAATTTAGCCAATGGCATAGCAAATAATTATAATCGTATATGTATGTATGTATATATATTTATTGTGTAAATAATTTATAAACTCAAATCGTAACCGTGAATATTCAAGAATAGATACTAGATATCTCGGACGGTTTAATTCTCAACGCTACAGCATCAAACACGAAAATCACTTTCATATTTCTATAGCATGAAAATCTAGACACACCAAAATAAATAATGCACTAGTTTCGATTCTAAATAATATCAGCAATACTTTTATTCAATACAAAACGACTGACACGTAACCACCTGACAACATAAAAATAGATAATGTAAAAATTAAAGCCAATGTAAAATAATATAAATATGAACGAACAGGTGTGTAAACAACTATAAAAATCTTACATAATAAAATGTATCCAGCTTTCGTTATGAGCGCGCCAAGAAAAATTCGATTTTCGGTGCCAATTTCCGGTCCGATGGCATCGAACACCGCGAAAGAAACTACTGTCTCTACTACTCTACTACGGTATGTCTACGGATCGGGCAAGAGGAACAGCACACGAGCACACTTCGCCATAATCCGTTCTCTCGTTTCACTCTCGCCTTTTTGATTACGTACCTTGCAGAGCGGAGTGCCGTCTTTGCGGTGGCGGTGGGCTGCCGCCCGCTTCCACGCTGCTCCCGCTGTGGCTGTCCAGTTGAGTGCTATGACCACTGTCACTGCTCGTCACCGAACCTACGCACAGGTTCCCAAGACACTTCTATCACTACACACGTTCTAACCGAGGGATTACGCCCTGACGCGATCACTAAACGATCCTATTGTCTAGTCACGACGCTCATTCGCCTCATTCATAATCCGTATCTTTTTGTTTTAGAGTAAACTGTCTCACAAAGAGAGCCGATGCAAGAACCTAATTTAAACTAATTACTTCGCCGCACTCCAATTGCACGTCTCTCGCACGTTCCTATCTATATCTCTTTCTTGCTGTCTACAAGCATTTATATCCTATCATTGACAGAGCGTAATCAACAAGTATATCTTATGTGCGCGACTGTACGCCGTATTTAAAAGTAACCGATGATACTTTACTAATTTCCTATACAACGTTCAGCTTATACTCATTTAAATACTTAATTTATCATTCAATTTAGACTACGGCTGTGCAAATTATTTTATTTTCTATAACATTTACGTATTAAAATTATTAGGATTTATTCAAAATTTTCTACTTCGAATGCAGCGCTTTAGATACACCGATCTCATTAAAATACAACTCCGTATGTCCCATGGTATGAAAGTTTTGAGTCGAAGCCGCAGTTCATGAAATTAAGTTCGATATATATATATATATATTTTATATATATATATATATATATCTCTCTCTATCTCTCTTTCTCTTGTGACGTCGGATTGAAAAGAAAAGCTCGCGCTATAGTAATCGGCGTACAAGATGCGTGTGTGAGTGTCGTGTATATATGAATCAACTAAATAACATGGAACATTTATGAATTGCGTAAACGGCTGTGCAGCGTGCATAATAATGAGACTCCTTGTTGCGAGACCTGACCAGTGTAAGTAACGAGCAACGAAAGTGCGTGATGGCGCTTTGCGAGATGCGTGTCTAAGTCAATTTAATCGATTAATATCAGTCCGTCTGTCAATATGATCTAGAAAGTCAATACGATCCATAAACAAAAAGCTATTGAAAGTACGCAAAATAAAATAACTGAGAGATTTATTTAGACGGAACACAATCCGTCTAAATGTATCTTTAAAAAATTCTAAAAAAGACAACGTATTATATCGGACAGCATCTCGCTTCAAACCATTTCATAAAGAAAAAAAATCGTACTCACCACTTGTTAAGGTTTTTCTTAGAGGCTGAAGATTGCTCAAACTAGTTACACTACTGCTCTCTGCACTAAGATCAACAGGCGGTGGTAAGCTGGCAGGTGTATCGCTGTGGGATCGTTCGTGCATTGGTACCCTGCTGCCGGATCCTACTCTTCTAGGTGCACCTGGACTAGGTTCTAAACCGCTCGAATGCAACGCTAATCCCGGTACAGGTAGCGGCGGTGCACAGTGCTTAGGTTGATATGGTCGTGTCTTGTGAGGATCAGACAGAGCCAACATCTTCCTAACTGCTTGTGGCGACGCAGCGCCGAATTTTGTACCTAAAAATCCATTATACATATATATATATAAATACAAATTACAAAATAAATTCTTCAAAAAATGTATTACAGCGCAATTAAGTATGCAAATTCACGCCAACCTTGTATACTCTTTCTGCCTTCACTGGTACTACTGGCGCTACTGGTAGTCGACAGAGTAGGCGACGGATGCCTCCTTCCCCGACTGCCACCCAATGGTACCGCAGCTGCAACTGCAACCGCTCCTGCATGTGGTTCGCAATCGACAGAAAGTTGATGTAACCGTTCCTCGTCGGTGATCACTTTCATGTTCGCGAGATAGGCCTTCACTCTTCGAACCATCTGTGCTTCCTCAAACATTTTTTTCGGATTTGGTGCAGCCGTGGATTTTTTTCGTCGTTTCACCGTTGCAGTTTGGCTATATATATATATATATATATATATATATACACACACATAAATATTGCATTTAAAACCTAAACTAGAAATAATAAAAAAAAAACAACATAAGAAACTCAAATTAGTATTAAATAAAGACCAATAAGAGCGACATCGCAGTTATTATGAGCGTATAATATTACAATGTTTTATTAGTGTTATTACTTTACATTTTTCATATATATTAATTTCAATGTTCAAACATTTCGACTTGTTTCAAGCCATCTTCAACAATATGTAGTAAAAAAAAATAAGAAACTCACCTTGATTGCCAGTAGTCATTTGGTTCAGAGCTACCATCGCAGAACTTGGTGGTTGCCCACCCCTTTCTAACATAGTTAGTAAATCATAAGGTGAGGAACACATATTCGTTAATGTTCTCACTTCCTTCGCGATCATTCTGAGTTTTTCGAAATTCACTAGACTTTCTACTCTTGAGTCATTACCAAGATGTATAAAGGTCAAGTCCTTTTTCACGACTGGATAGAAAGGTATCTGAAATAATCATTAAACTCTCGCTAGTAATAATTTAAAGTCAACATAGTACACAAACTCGAATAATAGAAACAGATAGTAAATAAAAAATTGTAAAATATAGAAGTAAATGTTAATAAAAGAAAAGAATGACTCACTATGGGTGGTTGCGTTTGTTCAGACGCCACCAATTGTCGATATTTACTCATATTACGGCTGGGATCCATTAATTCTTGTAAATCACTGAATAATCTTTGATATTTGGTTGGCAGTTTTTCCCATGAAGCTCTTAATCTCGATACTGAGCCATGACCCAAACCGGATACGATCGCGAACATGGAATTGAAATTCTTGCACTCTTTGCATTGACCTATACAGAAAAACATTACTGATGCAAAATATATACATATAAGATAAAAATACAGAAAAAGGTTCCAAATACTTACGCGCTATTTTAATAAATTGTTTTATAATCTTACTGCGCCGTACGAGATTATGTTCCGAACAAACTTCCGTTACAACCCAGAACATTTCTCTGTTGACTAGTTCTGCAAACTGACTGAGCATAGGCACACCATACCTACTCTTCAATTCAAATAGGTCATCCACATACTCCGTGGACTCGATTTGCCTGTAACAAAAAAAATTTGTAATAAATGCAAATTGTAAATGCAATTTCCAAATTTTATACATTTCATGAAATATTAAATTACCTGAATATACTGAAGTCTTGCAAAGTCAGTTGTATTGCTACTTCGACGGCATTCAATTGCAGAAAGTGTACTTGAGACTCTCGAATGAGTTCCGGAGCTTGATCGTCAGCTACTAAAGTTTCGGAAATTCCGTTAGTTTTCAAGTAGTATCGAGAGCTTAATCCGATCCGTTCAGCAAGATTCTGTAATTGATCTGGTAATCTACGCTGTTTAATCATGCCACCTTCGCCAACGCTTACTTCCGCCAGAGAGAAATTTGAACTACTTTCTGTTATACCAAATTCTTGAAGTGCAAGCATTACTACCTATAATAAATTAATGCATCGTTACATGTATGTATAATCCAAACATAATTCGTGTTTTCTTCAATTACTTAATTTTAGCAGTATAAATTTATTTACCTCATGCGCCGTTGTTTCTTTGTGAATAAGAAGATATTTGCAGGTTTGATCAGCTTTATATACCTTGAGCACGTGTTCAGGATAATCGTTTGCCCTTAAATCGTCGTAACAATAAAGCGACGTAAGATCTGGATTACTTTTCGAATGATATAGATTAGTAGTAGTTTGCGTAAGCCCTGTTCCCGGTGGTGTGTGCGGTGGAGCAAGAGGATCATCCAAATGTACACCGTCGCTAATTAAAATTGAAAAATATTTTGTGCCGATAAAGGATTCATGTAGATTTAATTATTAAATTTATGCACAATACTTCAATCAATAGACTCACTTGATCGTATTCTTTGGCAGTATGTTCATTTTCATAAGTGCTTTCTGTAGTCGCCGTTTAGGTCCAAGAGTCATAAATCCCTTGTGCTCCTTTTTAGAGTCTTTACACGGTGACACATTGTTGTCTGGGATTAATAATGGTACCCCACCAATCATAGGATTTAAAGGATTTACAGGAGTCATGGGATCCACATGTGTTGATAATCTAGCTCGTGGATCCGATTGAAGCCTCGGTATTTCCGGCTTACTTGATCTACCTCGAGGTCTCGGAGAATTATCTGGCATTTGAAGCATTTCTTTGAAAGCTGTAAGATCAAATAATTAAAGATAAAAGAGAGAATATTTTCCTATTTTTTATATATATTTCTGATTTATAAATTAAACTCACCAAGTAAATTAGATTTTACAGTTATACTGAGATGCGTAGAAGCTCTCAAAATATCAAGAGCTTTCGCATGATTTACATGCTCGAAACTTTGGCCGTTTACTTCCAAGATCTGGTCACCTCTCTTTAAACCGACATCTTCAGCCTTGGATCTCTTGTCAACTTTTGAGATAAATATACCAAAACCTCTCTCAAATCCTCCTAAAATGCTAAAATTTAGGACCTCGTCCCTGTTTGGCCTGGCTAACGTTACATTCCGCGTTCTCGCTTTCGCCGCACATGCAATATTTAACAACCTGAAATTTCAGTTACAAATAATAACAGTTATTTTCCTTAATATGTTTTAATATATTTCCTTTGAAAAAATAAAACAGAAATTTACCTTTGCTGTCCTAACATTTTCTCTCTTTCCAGTCCAGTTTCAAATGCTTCTAAAAATTCCATCATCGCTGGATCAGTCTCGAAATCGGTAAAATGATTGTTCACCCATAAGAGCACGACGCGAGCAACGCGATCTCGCACTTGCGCTTGATCAAACCACTCCAACAATTGACTTGCGACTAACAACGGACTATCGATAAACGTTCGATGAGTCAATAAAAAATCTTCCACATAAGTAGGATCTGTAATACTGTTTTCTTCAATGAGCTGTAACATCAAACGCTCTGGAGTTCCCCGAATCACCACGTGACCTCTTCGCGCTGCACCATCCAAAGCTCCCCGCAATTCAGTTACTAAAATTACCCTTCCATTCTCTTCATGTCTCCTGGTATTCTCTTCACCTTGATGTTGTATTCGAAAATAATCTGCTTGCGTGACACAAACAAATTGGCAATCGTCGCACCTGCAAACAGAAAATTGCGTTTTTTTATACTTTTCTATATATCTTTCTAGGCATCACGGCCTATATGAGAGTAGAAAAGAATCATATTACAAACTTTGTTCTCATAACTCCACGATGTAACAGCCTCTCCATAGTAGGCAAGATACCAAAGCTATCACCGAGACCGAGTTGTTCAATCTCACCATTGCTATGCTCAATCTCAACAGCACCGTTGATTAACACGCTCCAACTGTCGAGTTCCTCGCCGTCATTCAGGACCACCATTCCAGCACGATCGACTACCGCAAACACCATCACAGCGCACAGCGCTCTTCTAACAGCCAAAGTCATGTTTGTGAAAGCTTTCAATTGTTGCGTAAATTCTAAAAGCGTCTCTATGTCGTCTTCTGTTCTCTCAACAGGATCCTTCTCTAAACATTCTCGTACAGGATCACGTACCGTTAAACTCTAAAATATCACAACAATAAACATTAGAATAGCATCCAATGCATTTCTAGGAGACAATAAAATAAATAAAAAATAATAATACTTACATCCATGCTTTCTGCCAGATCTTCCTCCTCATCGCTATCAACAATGGACTCCACAAGACCCGACAAATCCACTTCATCAGGATCTGCATCTAACGAACTTTGTACAGATGTCATAGTGTCGGATCCACTGTATGCTGAACTTGTGTCACTCGAATGACTGCTCCTGTTTGATTTCTGATATAGCTCCGGCCTGCCTGTAAGGCCCTGTGAGAACTAAAAAAAAACATTTTAATAACTTATTTAGTTATTTCAAAATTTCTTAAAAATTCACATACATACTTTTTACTAGATTTTATCATAAAATATACAAACTATCTTTATAAATTATTTATGTAATTAAAGAGTATTTCATATCGAACTTTTTATGAAATAGATTAATCAATTTTATCTCTTTTCCATATATTTTTTTCCTATACTAAATATTCCATATGTTTATTATAGAAAATTATATAAATCAATATAGAGTCTTGATATAAAATACAATATATCCAAGAAATTTGATGAGATATAAATTCTAATCTGTGTAATGAGAGATTAGAAATCTAATCTAATTACCACAGGAGAGATTATATATACAAGTACATAATAGATGTGTATGTTACATTCAAAGAGATATTTATGATAAAAGTTAAATTAAAGCGAAAGAAATAAACAAGACTCGGGAAATAGAATACTAAAAGAAATTTATTTGTCATTTACACACAAGCAGTCATTTGAATATTATAAAAATACACTGAGAGAGATGTGAAATATAATGTAATAACAATAATTTAACATATGTTCCATGTAATTTGACTCTTCTTTGGATTATCAACCTAACAACTGACAATAACAAGGAGCAATTCAAAAGGACTGCCCAAAATAATGAGTCAGAGGGAAAATGTACGAAAATGATTGGCAATCCTGCTTCTGAGCATTGGAGACAACTTATATCCGCGTATATAGCTCTACGCGCGGAACAAAAACATAGACGACGCTCGCTAAAAGCGCAAAGTAGGAAATACCAAGAATGGGCGTGATTGGGACAGGCTCTAGTTCGCGGTTAGGTTAGGTCACAGCGACATGACATCACGCTCGCACGCACGTATGTATTTGTACGTACATACGCAGACCGTGCGAGCATCAGGCATCAGGGCGCGGGTGTATTTCTCGCGCGCGCTCGCATACATGATGCATGTACATATTGGTCATCCAAACAAGACACCTACGAACGCCAGAGCTGTTGACGCCGTTGTCATGTCATCGCGAGGGGCGGCCGCGCAGCGTGCAGCAGAGAAGCGCATATTATACATTATACACCTCGCGTTCTCCGAGAACTCGCTTTCCCAACGAGCACGAGCGGTCGCGAGAGAGGGAGACGAAGAGAAAAAGGGAGCCAAGGCCATTTTGAGCATATCTCTTGGGAGGAGACTCGAGAGTCGAGGCACTCACTTGATACACGCCGAACGCGTCCATCGCGTCAGCGGAATCCGCTATTCTCCTTGTTGTTCTCGTCTTTCTCCTTGGCGGAAACAATCACGACAGATCCAACGAATCGTCGAGGGGACGCGTCCGCATTTTCCTACGCGCTTTATTCGCGCCTCGTCCGAGATTGTTTTTCTCTCACTGTGCCGCTATGCGCGTGGAAGCAGCCAGCGGCCAGCGCCTCAGCGTGACCCTCTTTGGCTCTCTGTACAGCTTAACACGAAACTCGTGATGCGTCCGACTGTCCGTGTCGTCGCCGTCGTCGCTGGTCGTCGCGACCGACCGGTCGTCAGCTTAGCCGACATAGGACTACCATTACCACTACCTCGTCTCGTCCCGCCACCACCCGCACCCCAGTCTCAGTTCGCAGTCCGCACCACGACCCACGCGACGCGTCGTGCCGTGCCGCTCTGCGCTCAGTCACTCAGTCGGCTCAGCTCAGCCTGCTCAGCGCCGCTAGCAATGCTGGCAATGCTGGCATTCCCTTCGCAGTTCGCCTTCGGTTCGGATCGCAGCGTAGTCACGTGATGATTCGCCGTACCGTCGTACCGTGCCGTGAGCGGCGTGAGCGGCTCTTCAGGACCGTGTCAACTGGGAGAGCACACCCTGCACGCCACGCCGCGCTGCGGCCGGAAAGGGAGGGGAGATTGCCAGGCCACCTGTAGCTTCCACGCGCGATTCCGCTTCTTTTTCTTTTTTTATTTTTTATTTTTTATTTTTTATTTTTTTTTTACAAAATTCCATGTGGATCTCTTCACTGTTTCGTCCGTTAACATGCCCATGTTTCCGATTACAAATGCGATCGAAACTGCGAAATTACAAACCTTGATTCTTGACGATCCGATAATATCAAATTGACATCGAAACTTTAGGTTTATAAGATACGCAAAAAAATTGAATTATATTTAATTTTCCTATATGTGTGTGATTGTGTTGGAATTTACTACAATAAAACAATTGTTTATGATACATATACATACAATTTAAACAACGTATAATTTTATCATTTTAATAGAAGTTTAAGATATCAAAAAATAAAAATATATATACTGCAATTCTACAGTACATGGCACGATCTCTAATTAATCCACAAAATAAAAGAGAAACTAAAGAAAAAAATCATATAGAACAGAATTAATATCCATAACGTATACATATATCGAAAAATGCTTTAATATCGACTGGGAATTCAATTACATTTCATTTCCCACATAAAGTTGAAACGATAGCTGGAAATTTAATGAAATTTCGTTGTCCATATTGCATGGGGATTAAATTAAATTTCGTTATATTGAACATACAACACATATTTCTAATAAATCCAGTATCAGTATTCGTAATTTCACAGTAGCTCGTAAACGCCGCACAAATTTGCATCTTTATAATCTCAATATTTACAGGTAAACTGTACAGCCGTTACATAAAGACGCATTCTGCCTTGTTAACATAATATATAAAACCATTGTTATGGAACTGATCTCATTATAACACACATATAGTTGCGGGGTCGACGGTGCGCTAATGAAATTTCAAACAAAAATTTAAAACAAGGTAAAAATTACGAAATAATAATTGAAATAATTTACTAATGCCTATAATTGGAGATATAACTATATGCCGGAGAAAAAAAGTGTAATTAAGTGTAATTTGCGTACAACAGGGAAGAGAATTTAAATAATAATAACTGTCTGATTCGTGGGAGGATCACTTGATGGGATTTCGAAGCGATTTAATTTAACGATGACAGATTATGAATAATTACGAATTTACTTTAGATGGAAGAGGAATAAAGATTAACGTATAAAACTCTCTCACGTTTGAATTTTTTAAAATTATGTATGTTTATCATATATATGTCTATCATATGTCTATCACAAGCTAATGCAAAATACATCTCGTTAAACATTAAATTGTTTTTTATTAAATAATGGAATTATTTTATGGATCAGACTTTTATAAACTTGAAAATTAAAATTGCAATCAATAAAACACTATTGCAGTTTCAAATCTTACTAATAATGATCATTCGACAATAACATTCGAAAAAAAGAAACAGGAAATGAAAGGTACGTAATCAATTTCGCGATAATTACTTTAGATGTAGATTGAAAATATTCAATAATGTGTGATTGAATAATGGTAAGACAAAAATAACTAAGATTAAAAATACGCCTGATACGTAATGCAGTTTCCTTCGATTTGCATACCCACGCGAATGTCGGCAGCCAACGGAACGTCATAAGGATAATGCAAAGCACGCTCGAGAAGCCGATCAAGAAAGAACGCGCCGATGCTCTCGCGATTAATATTCATCAGCCTTCGCGATTAGTTAATTGCCATGCGGAACAATAAGCAAACAATGATGTAAATTGACGCCAATAACGACACCTAAATTGATCTTAAGAAGTCTCTCTATAGAAAGTCACTGTTGGGCGATCGTGTAAAATGCGCTTAAGAAGTCGACGGACGGTCGATCGAGCCGCAAAGGAACAAGACAGTAAGAGAGGAAGCGAGATGTAACGAGAGAGAGAGAGAGAGAGAGAGAGAGAGAGAGAGAGAGAGAGAGAGAGAGAGAGAGAGAGAGAGAGAGAGAGAGAGAGAGAGAGAGAGAGAGAGAGAGAGAGAGAGAGAGAGAGAGAGAGAGAGAGAGAGGGATGACGATAGAGAAACGCTGCTGCTGGTCCGCTCAAAGCATTTATCCAGCAACGGATAGTAACCGCTCAAAGGCCACTGTCCGACCCGACGGATGATTTATACGACCCGTTATGTCGTTCGTACTCTCGTGTATCTCACTTTTCCTTTTGTCCCGCGCCAACACACTACTTTCCAAATTGCTTCTTCCATTCAACTTTTTGCCCGTCGGAAGGACGAATGTGCCGCAAGTACTATGCCGCACACATTTGAAGCCAAATCGACGAAATCTTTATTATCAAAATTATTCGTGAGCATCCTGTGACTATTTACATAGGCGGATTGGTATCTTCGTGTCTTGCATCACCCGGCATTGAGTTTGATAATTTTATCATTCCTCAATCACGAAAAGGACGTGATGAAGAGAGTAGAGTCAGAAAGTAAGACAAGCTTATATACTGTAGACTTTCTGAGATCTCAACAAATTATTAAAAATATTTGCATACAATTTCTTATAGGTAAGTTTTATAGATTTAAAAGATAGAATTTTATGGAATTTTTACAAATAGAACAAACGTATCTTATCAATCATAGCAGGTATTAAATTATTTTTATTTAACGTATAACAATTAGATGCTCAGAAACAAGAAAATGGAATATTTTCGTCAACAAAATTTCGAAACAAGAGAATAGAATATTTATTTCGTCAAGATTTATCAAGTCAAAAGAATACAATAGATGCAATAATAGTTTATGAAAAAAAGCCATACGCAATCATGAATGCCTTTAACAAGAGTAATTTATGTATAAAACCAACTAGATTTCCTTGAAGAAGAAGGATTTCCTCGTCTTCGAACTTGAATATATGATCGAAACATTTACTAGACATTATTTACTCAGACGAGAAAGAGAAGAAATATTCATACTATAAAACTGTCATTTTAAATAAATAACTAAAAAAAAAAAGAGATATTTACCGTGTCATCGAAGACCAGATTGACTTGACGATGGTCGGTTATGGGATGGGGATGCGGTGGTCGATGCATCCTCCCTCCACCATGGACTTCCGGGTAGTCGATCTGCAAAAAATACAGTTTATAATAAGTTATGTATAGAGCGTACAAATTATTAATGTTCAATAAGTGATTATGCGAGTGTTTATAATAAAGCATTTGAATAATCATCGAGGAATGATTGCCTGATCGTCAGTTTGTAAGCGTAACTTGATATCGTTTGCTATTATATCAACTTATATTGATTATATCTTTTAATCTAAATTATGGTATAATACACAATTGAACAACACACCTAATGAAAAATAAATCGCGATTTAAATAAAGATGATAAATAAATTTTACATCTATGATATGAGGTGTCTAATATCTTTCCCCATGGACGCGTGATGATAATCTCATTTGCGGATGCATTAAATATTGCTGCCTTTTTTTACGCTCTATGCAATACAATAGATATATATATTTTGCATTTATATTCAATCAGATATCTCCATAATTAAGTAATAAATTCAAATTTAAATATCAAAATAAGAAAATTAATTGGATTCTAGAAAATCAAATAAATTAATTTTAAAGTCAAAATAAATAAATACAGAGGATGTTATATAAATAGAGATATCTTGATAAATTACAAGATGCACCAAAAATGGTATTATAATGACAACGAGCTAGATTTTTTGTGAATTATAAAACACTACATAAATTGAATTAAAAAATAGTTTTATTAGTCTATTTGTATTTCTAAAATTTATTTGATTAAAAGACTTAATTATTTAATTATTTCAAAATTACTATCTAATTGTGCGTTCATAAGATACTTAAAAATTTCGTGAGCGTATTCGTGGATAAAAAGGAAGAAGAAATGTTCCTAGGACAATAAACATAAATACAGTAGTATCAAATAATGATTTTGTTTGAAAGTTTTGCTTGGGTATTTTTTTTACAAAAGATGCTCAAAACCCTCCACACACATATCTGAGCATGACATACACATGACTGGCGCATTCATTCGTAAACATAAAGATTTCATTATTTCGATAACAAAGAATTTGCCGGCCAAATGTTTCAAGAAGCATTTCTTCCTCCTCTTTATCCTTTTATCTAATTTGAATTTATTACTAGATGTTTTAGATAATTTAGATAATACAGTATGCTTAATCCAACTTTTCTGTGACAACATAAAATAATACAGAATAAATATTTAAAATATGACAAATGCACAATAACTTGCAGTGTTAAAAAAAAGTAATAATTATTCTAATTAATAACAGATTTCGCAAATTTGTTATGAAAGAATCGCTGCTATTAATTAGATATTAGAGTATTATCGAAAAGTTACCATTAAAATTTTTTAATTATCAGCTGATTACGATAATGTCAGCTGCTTTTTACTCCTCGCGACAGTCTCTTTTTCGGTTGACAGGCAACACAGTATTCATTGCTGAACAGCAAGGAAAAAAAGGATGAAAGAGACAATGAGACGAGTGCGCTTCAGGCCGGAACTCGTAGGCCGGACTTCCGGTAGATATGCTGGTTATACGTTCCATTCACGGAACCGCTCCCTCGTGACTCGATTGTTACAATAAATGTTTAGCCAATTTCGGGATGAAAGTTCAATTTCCATAGGCGATCGATTGATCGGATGACACGACGCCGACATGACGTTCCGATTCAACATTTTGCATGATGCATATATCGTCGCAATAAAAAAAGTAGCCCCACATATTGCGTCGTTCGTTATATTGCGTGAAAAGTGACATAATACGTTACTTGCGCATTCTTTCAAACATATTTAATATTTGTCCTACATAATTATTAAAAGAATTGCAAACTAATCCCGACATTATACGTTAACATTAACGTTCCCGTACAATAGCTGTAACCAAACAGTACATTTTATGATTACAGTCTCTCCTCTTCTCTCCTCCTCTCCTTATTTAATAACTCGATACTGAAAACACTCGCGAATTTATAATTAGCAATCGAAAGCGTAACGCAATCGTGACGCAATTTATAAACGAATAAATGCAGAATGTGCATGTGTTTTTGACGTAACAATTGAATTGTAAACAATTATCGCATATTAAGTATGAATGTAAAACGATGGCAAATTATTTAAGCAAGAATGTTTCACGTGCGTTCAATTATGCCGCATGCTATTGTACATGTCCAAAAAATACAATCACATTTTCATCAAATTTCATATGTACTTAAGCCCTATTAAAAATACACTGATTCTATTAGTATTTTTTATATAGCGTAAAAATTACAATTTTATATATAATAAAATTATATATCAAATATCAAATACGTAAATAACAATAATAAATAACAACCAAATAATTCCACAAAAAATTAAAAATAAAATTATATTATTTGTACATTATTCATTCAAAATTATGTAGAATATATAAAGAAATAATTAATTGATCATAGAAAAAATAATAATACAACAAATAAGTTGCACGATACTTTAAACAAATATTGAAACGAAGTGCAGGATGAAATAATATTTCAAAATATAAAAACATTATTTGCTCTCAGTGTTGACCATTCTTTGCAAGTGGCTAATTATGGTTAAATGAGAAATATTCTCTCAATTATATGCTCTCATTCATTCCGTTCTCCCACATTATATTCTCAATCTCTGCATGAGACCTTCGACCCACTCGTGTAGGCGACATACGTGTACATAAACACGAGTGCATCAAACAAGATGTATGATCGCGAGATGTCAACTTGCTTTGCCTCCTCGTTTTTACATCGATTTCGACCCGAACGTTAATGACCTCCTTCGCAGACATACCGCTCGTATCGCTTCATATGCAAGGTTATCAACTAATTGTAAGAGGAACAGATGCCTTGAATTAAGATATTGATATGTAATCGAAACTTGTGTGTGCATGATATGAAATAAACGACTGTTTCCTCAACGGAAGAAGATAAAGCAGCGATTAAAATCATTACAAAAGATAAAAAAATCGCGCGTTCCACTCGCAGCAGATGTTTAGCATCCTGACAATGTCCTGTTGCTGACAATGTGTGCGAGGACACATTGTCAAGAATGGTTCTCGCATTAGATTCTCAAATAGTTAGACACTTTTATAATAAGTTTTAAATAATTATATTAAAGAAATTTGCAGAATACGTGAATTTGACAATTACGTGTTCTCACGGTGTCTCAGAAGCTTTAATTTTCAAAAAAGGATCACATTATGGAGAAGAATAAATTATAAAACTGACGACTGTAATTTCGGCAATTCTATTGACTTATTTTTTTTCAAGTATGAAGGAATAAATATCAGGTGAATTGAACAATTGTAAATTAATCAAGATAATTTTATATGACGACTGGTTTAATGCGACTTTTTCAAAACATTTATCCGATTATTGAACAGTGTAACCTCATCAAGTTTTTTATATGACGACTTCTTAATTGCGGGTATTTTAATATTTACTGGTTGTCTGGTTTTTAATTGATGTCTATTGTATATTATATTAATTTAATCATGCGGAGATCATAAATTATTGTACTGAAGATGGTCAAATTTTGACCGAAAAACGTCTACGAAATTTTATTATTGTTACGATAATTTTAAATATATGACTTCACAATAACGTCTTGTGCTGTAACTATTGCTCCTTTTGATTGATATTTTGTTATTTAAGCCACCTCTAAAATTTAACTTATAACACATGTGCATAGGATATCAATATATTATATACAAATTTCGTACAGACTATAAATTAAAACAAAATATTTAAATTAAAAATGAAAAAATAAATTCATATAGCAATCTAAATAAATTGTGTAATATATTTGTTTTTACAGCTTAATTTTATTTCGATATTTCTTTTCGTCAAAAATAATCTAAAACAAAAGTGCTTTTCATTAACGTCGACGCAACTTTCGCGCAAATATTTTTTATTCGTAAGTTTCAAAGTAAACATTAACAAGTTATAAAAACAAGCTTGCACATCATATAATTTACTCGTAATAAATTAACTTTTCAAGACTTAAGATGAGATGGGCCTTTTTACCTCGGACGATACAATCGATAGAGTTCTCGGTGTACCAGGCCAGCTTCTGGACAATGAGCGACCTTTTCGTTTTCTTACAACGACCCGAGGTCGTCCAGTCCTGCTTGTATGTTTCAACATCGCAAACTCGGATAATTTAATCGAAATTACAGAATGTCTATTTGTATACCACATCCACGTGGTTCCTTTCTTGCCATCACTACGCAAATCGATCCATGGATGTCATATCTCAATGTGTCAATACTGTCAATAAACCAAAAAACTATTCGATGCTACCAGATTTGAACGATATCTATTTTCCAACAATTCGTCACTTTTTCACATTAATCACTCATCAAACAACACTTTGTAGACTTTGGGTCGCACAAAAATCGGACATTGCGTTGTGAATGTCAAACGACATTTCACATTAGGGAGTTTTTGCAATAACGTGAATTCAGATACGGTGAACGCTAAAGTCATGTTATCCTTTTCTTAATTAGTTATTAAGAAGATAACCTGACCTTTCACCGTATCTGGATAAATGGTATTGCAAAAACTTTCTATTGTTGATTGAGATTTACGAGAACACAATGATACCTAACATACCATAAACGCCTTCGTCTATACATAATCACGGCGATTCTACCGTTTCATAAATAAGACCTTGCAAATTGTTTAATCTCAAAATCGACGTTGACTGAATGGACATCCAATAAAATTGTTAACACAATTAACACTGCTCGTGTTTCACGTTTGACATACACACGCTCCCACATACGTTGCGTCTCGTGGAGAACTGAATCGTTCACAATTCTTGAAGAGGGCCAAAGACCGACCTGCTGCGGTCACGTGATTTATGCTCAGGAACGTAGAAAGGCTTATCGTATGTCGTAACGTATAATTTTCCTGTCGACGCCGGAAATTGAAAAATTTGATATAAAATTAATGGCGAATACAAAATTTTATTCTAAATAACTCATGATCGTAAAGAACTTGGTAAACTTAAGTCGGAACAAATATTCAAGTCTAAAAGAATAAGA